CACAAGCAAACCCAAGTCTCTTCATGGGTGTCTCAATTAGGGTTTCTATTACTTTGACAAAACAGCATGACCAAAAGCACTGTGAAGCCGGGCGCTGGTGGCGCACGCCTTTAATCCCAGCACTCAGAAGGCAGAGGCAGGCGGATCTCTGTGAGTTTGAGGCCAACCTGGTCTACAGAGCGAGTTCCAGGACAGCCTCCAAAACAATACAGAGAAACCCTGTCTCAAAAAACCAAAAAAAAAAAAAAAAAAAAAAAGCACTATGAAGAGGAAAGGACTCATTTAGCTTTCATTTGGGCATCACAGTGCATCATCTAAAGGAGTCAGGACAGGAACTCAAGGAGAGAACAAAGAGGCAGGAACTGAAACAGTCACCATGGAGGAGTGCCTGCTCCTCCTGGCTTGCTCAGTTGGCTTTTTTATACAACCCAGGACCACCAGCCCATGGGTCACAATGTCCACAGTGGACCGGGCGTTTCAATCATCAGTCCAAAATGTGTACCCCACACCTGTACACAAGACAATCTGATGGAGGCATTTTCTCGGCTGAGGTTCTCTCTTCTCAGATGACTCTATTGTGTCAAGTTGACATAAAACAAACCAACATAATATGTATATCGTCACCCTCTTTCATCCATAGTAGAAGTATCCCAAGGCATTCAGCCAATGCCTGAACCACCGATAACACACTGCGACCTGCACACACACACACACACACACACACACACACACACACACACACACACACTTTTTTTTTAAGGAACTGATTTTTTTTTAATTTTTAAATTGAAATTAGAAACAAGGTTGCTTCACATGTCAATCCCAGGTTCCTCTCCCTCCACTCTTCCCATGCCCTCCTGCCAACTCCCCCATCTCCCCCTCCCCCAAACCCCACTCCTTTCCCCAGGCAGGGTGAGGCCCTCCATGGGAGTGTCATAGTCTGTCATTTCATCCAGGGCAGGGCCTAGACCTTCCACCAAGAATCCAGGCTGAAAGAGCATCTCTCACTGTGGGATGGGCACCCAAAATCCCTTTGTATGCCAGGGATAAATACTGATCTACTACCCAAAGCCCCATAGATCTACACACACATTTTTGTTTCCTGTGCATGCATGTGTTTGAGAAAGTGGAATTTGTAAGTTGGGCACAGTAAGATTAACAGTAACTAAAGATGAAACACAGTCTAACCATTGGCTGTAACAGAGGTTTTCCATTTAGCAGTTTGAAATCGTAGTCAGCAAAGAGTGAGAACAGGAAGACTGTGCCCAGTGGGAGATGACGCCTTAGTGTGTGCTGAGCTGCTGAACCCACAAATTACTTTAGAGCAATAAGAGTGACTGACAGCCACCATGAGTGGGACGGAATTGTTATGAAATTGAAGCATTAAAACATTTTGTAGCCGGGCGGTGGTGGCGCACGCCTTTAATCCCACTCGGGGAGGCAGAGGCAGGCGGATCTCTGTGAGTTCGAGGTCTGCCTGGTCTACAGAGAGGGTTCCAAACAATACAGAGAAACCCTGTCTCGTAAAACAAAAAACAAACAAAAAATTTGTAATATCTTCTGCAAACAGTGACAAAAACCCACTTACCTCTTTTTATGACTTTCTCTATTGTTCGATCACGATGTATTCAACTTGTGGCTAATTTCCAAGACTAAAGCCTCACTTCGAGAATTTTAGGGAATTGCAGATACTATTACCTCAGCAGAAGGGAGTATTCCAAACCAAGCCTGAGATATACAAACGATTTGGGTCTAGTTTATCTCTGCGGCAGGCTGTGCATGAATCTGTGACAATCTTAATAGAAGGGAATTGACTTGCTGAGTAACGGCAGGGAGAATAAGTTTTATGGAAGCAATAGCAAGCCTGTGAATTATCACCTTATTAATCATGCAGACAATGGCATCCACAGCACAGCCAGGCACACACAGTAATTAAACTCAGCCGTCTGCGATGTTTTTGCCGTGTTTTGGTCACATTAAAAAACTGTAGTTTGACACATCTCACTAGTATGACTTTTGCAAGCTTAGCTTCACAATCCAAAGGGCCTGGCTGCTGCTGCTTTTTGACAGTGCTGGGCAGCTGGAGTTTGGGGGCTTTTCTCAGGGATAGAAGCTTGCCTAGTATGTGCTAGGCTCAGGAGTAGAAGTCTACTACGTGCTAGGTTCAATCCTAGTATCAAAAAATAGAAAAAGAAAAAAAAGCCTCTGGTCAAGCTAGTCACCAACAATCCACAAATCACTTGATATTGTTGGACAGGCCCTCGATGGCACCACCATGTGGCTGACTGGTGCAATGACAGGAAGATATTCTTCCCCCTCCCCTCCCCCCTCAACAAGGAAATTCTGACATTTTGGTCCCTGAGATGTTTTGAGGATTCAGAGAGAGGAAGCTGCTGAATAAGGATACATGCTTTCTATTTTTAGGATAGGTCAATCCCTGAGTGGTGGGGCTTAGTGTATAGTTTACAGTCTGGGTTTGAGGAACCATTTTTACTAGCTAACAGCATATAAAGAAAAGTGTGTGTGTGTGTGTGTGTGTGTGTGTGTGTGTGTGTGTGTGTGTATCAGGGAATTGGTGGGAGAGACTGAGCTCTAGGATCTGGACCAGACCTAGGCTGGAGTACTGGTTTAGGTTGTGGGATTTTGCACACAGTTCTGGGTACCCCCAAGCCTGTTTTCTCATGGGAATGCATACAACTCAAACGTCACAGGGACTCTGATCCAAGCTTGGCCCTGCACTTGGAGAGGGCTACATGATATAGCTCTTCTCCCTCTCTCTCACTCCTCCCTCTCTCCCCCTCCCTCACACTCCCCTTCCCCTCCTCTCCTGCTGAGTACTAATGGGGCAGAGTAGAGAGTCAGGATGCCGGCCGCCCAGAGTGTGGAGTCCCTCCTTCGGCTGAGCTCCCCCTCCTCCTCCAGGGGCTCCTTACTTCACCTCTGTCTTTGAGTAACTACATCTTGAATTGACAGGACCATGGAAGACCTAGGGATAAATAACTCCAGTCCTTCCTGTGTGTGTGTGTGTGTGTGTGTGTGTGTGTGTGTGTGTGTGTGTGTTTCAGTAGGCCAGGCCGGTGTCACTGCCCCAGCCCCATGTCCCTGGCCCTGGCCTCCCTCCAGAATGCCCTTCCTTTATTCTCCAACACACAATGTGATCGCTGTGTCCCTGCAGATGTCCCCACCTGTGAGCAAATGGCGGCAGCTTTGGGAGAAAACAGACAATAGCCACAGGTGTTCCTTCGTGTCTAGACAAAGCTTTCCGTTATTGTTGAAGAAATCTTTAAGATCTTATTGATGAACATTTTTGGAGATGAAAATGAGAGATCTGAGCTACTCGGTCTCCTGCTTTACTCAGTCTTCCCAGGTCTGACCTCCACCTCTTCCTGCCCCACCCTTCTGTCTGCCCCTCCCGTCTCTCCCCTGCAGCCTCCCCAGTGCTGGGATTAAAGTGTGCACCCAGCCCATACCTCTTGCACCTCTTCTGCCTCACTCCCCCCAGCCTTCCCGACCCTCTCCTGCACCCCTGCCTCTCCTCCCTCTCAGCCCTGCTTTCCTCAGTCTTCTTGGAGTGAGTGTCCAAATTTGCCTCTCTCCAGGAGCTGCCCTGTAATTGCCCCCCTGGGACCAAACTTTAAGAGTCTGACTCTGAAAATGGAGAGGAGGAGGGGGAGAGGAGAAGAGGAGGGTGTGTTAATGGTAGAGCAAGCCCCACTGGAGGCTTCTCACTGACTGGCAGCACACAGCCCTCCCCCCCAACCAACCACACAATTATCTCAGGGACCTTCAGGTGCTGCAGCAGCAGAACCACAGAGGGAATGCCCTGTTGCCACCAGCCCTGGCCCTTGGTGAGTGAAGAAAGTCCCAAGAACATGCTTCCTGCGGGGCTCTGCAGTTAAAATTGAACAGATGGCATAGCTTTCATTTTTATGTATGAGGGGGTCTGAGTCTGGGTCTGTGTATATGTGTGTGTGTGTGTGTGTGTGTGTGTGTGTGTGTGTCTGGGTGTGTGAGTCTGTGTCTTAGTGTATGTTTGTGTGTGTGTGTGTGTCTGAGTCTGTGTGTGTGTGTGTGTGTCAGTCTGTGTAGTTAAGGGAATCCTGAAATGAGCAACCTACAACTCTGAAAGATGGGGCAGCAAGGGTGCAGGGCAAACCCTTCCTGTCAGAGGACTTCTCACCTCCTTAAGAAGGCACCAGCAAATGGACTATCCTTATCTATGTTGTCACCAGCAAGTAGGCCATCCCTGTTACCATGTTACCAGCATGTGGGGGCGTCAGCCACTTTCTGTCAAATATTAGCAAACCAGTGCTGGGAGTTTCTTGCCTAGAGGCAACCAGTGTTTGTCCCAAAGAAACTCCTGCCCAGAGCCTGTTGGGAATGAAGCTAAGAACCTGCTCCCTGTCAGGGGAGAGAGCCAGTACACACAGGATTACCTCAGCCCTGGCCCGGGGCCTGCAATTCTGCCCCACTAGGCACTCCTACCTAGCCTCAGCTTCTAGTTGCTGGAGTGTGACTTCAGGACTTATCCTAGTCCTCATCACCAGTAGGAGAAGGTTCCAGAATCTGGCTGGAGGCCTGTTTCTGAGGCCTGGCTGCCCCTCCTGTCATCCTAGACTGCTGTGTCCTGTGTCCCAGAAGTGCAAAGCCCGGGCTTGGCTGCTTAGCCTGCAGCTTCTTGTACAGAGCCAGGGGTGGCGGTTGGGAGGGGGGGACATGGGACACAGGACACGACCACGCGCACACACACACACACACACACACACACACACACACACACACACACACACACACACACACACTGCTTGTCTCTAGGAGGTCCTCAACAGTAAGTTGGGAAGATGAGCAGACCTGACCTGGGCTCAAAGGCTCAAGGAGGGAGGAGGGACTGCCCCTCCTGTCCCAGTGACTCCCCTCCCACCAGCACACCCGACTTTCTCACCCCTCCCCTGCTCTTTGTTGTTCTCCCAAGTTCTGCTCCAGACTAGAGCCTCCCTTACCTACACAGGCTTGGCGTTTGGTGGTCTTGCACTATTCCCTTTGAGCTCCTGGGACCCTCCAGCAGCCAGCCCTTGACTTGTTTTATCTGCCAGTCTGGGGGTGCCAGCCCGCAGTGAGCTTCCCAAGTGACTGACTAGACACAAGTAGGCCAGAAATCACAGTGACTGGGGCTGAGTGTGACCTCACAGATGCTCCTTGCTGATGTAAGATGGAACATTCTAGAATGGTGCCTGGGGGGATACATTTCTCTACCTCCAAAAGCCACTGGCTGGCATGTGGCTCAGATCCGACACCCTGAAATGTGGTTCTTAGCCTTGTCTGGAAGCAGGAGTGTTTTCCCACCTGCTCATCTGTCCAAGTCATGCTGGCTTTACAGTCATGTTTTGGTGTGGCAAAGGCCACTCTGTGCCTGACAGATATGAGACTAGCTGGGAACTACTCAGCTATTAACACTGGTGCTAAAGCCACTTCCTGTGTACAGTTGCCACTTGTACCACAGACTGACACTATGCACTGGGCCCCATGTCTGAACACAAAAGATGAGTCCCACCTTCCTCCAAGATACATGCTGGGAGATGAGCCCAACTCTGCCGGTCAGTTTAAATGTCGACTCACTACAGCCTAGGATATTTGGAAAGAACCTTGAGGAAGACCCTAGATCAGGCTAGCCTGTAGGCATGTCTGGTGTTGAGGGCAGTCTTCATTGCTCACTGATGCTCCCAGGCCATTACTGGTAGCACCGTTCCCTGGGCAGGTAGCCCTGAGGAGTATAAGTGGAAAAAGCTAGGTGAGCACAGGCAAGCTAGCAAGCAGCAGAGATGTGTTCATTTCAGGCTTGGGTGGGAGAAAGAGCAGTCTGTCCCCTCTCTCCATTCACCAAAGGGCAGAGTATCAGTCGATTCAGTGGTGGCAAGGAGCTTTCCCAGGGTCTCTGTTAGAGGCCAGAAGAACCCTGCAAGGATGCAGGACACTCATATCCAGAGAGCAGGGAGACAAGCTGCTCTATGGTGAAAAGTGTCTACACCCTGATAAGCCTCTTCCCCGATGCAGCAATTCAAATCAAACCGAATTAGAAAAAGCCACATTTAATGGATACAGCGCTCCCAGATGGCCTTCCAGCTCCCCCAGAGAAGAGATGGGAAAGGGAAACCAGAAAACCCAGGAGTCTGTTTTCTGGGGGGCAGTTTAAATACCCTGTGGGAGTGGTCTTGAGTATCTCTGGGGGAGGGGCCATCATTTGCCAGGCTTTCTGAAATGCAGCAGGGTTTGGAGGGAGATGGGGAGGGGGTTTTGGTGGAACCTGGGCCATAACATTCCAGACACTTTGAGTATATGGATACCAGGGGCTGGAGCCAAGTTTCCACCATAGCACATGGTGCTATAAAAAACTGGGGCAAAGTCCACACAGGACATAGGCTTCCTGGTCTCCAGAGAACCAAGCCTGCCCAAGGTACGTGGCCTTACTCTAGGAGTGTCTGGTTGCTTGCTCATGGTCATCTGTCTTGGTCACGGTCACCCACCAAGAAGGCTAAATAAACCTTAGCATAAATCAGAACTGACCAAAGGGCAGGGGAGAGCATATTAGCCTTTGTGGGTCAGCATATGGAGGCTTGCTGCTGTGGCGTCTCTTTCCTACCTACCCACTGAGTAGAAGAAGAGGGACACAGAGACCAACAGTTGTGGTAGCGAATGTCTGACCTGCCATAAGGACAGACAGGGTGCCCCAGGCTAACACCTGTTCAATGTTGAAGCTGTGAAGCCTGAGCAAGTGCCCAAGCCAGAGAGCCAAAGTGCATAAGTACAGGAGAGGTCCTGGTCACAGTGGCTCCTATGTCCTCCCAGCCACTTTCCCAATATGCCTACAATCGCAAAAAGTGAGACTTGCCAGAATCTGTGTCCTCGGACTGAAACCGGTAGCATCGCCACCAACATCAGAGATGACACAGCAAGTGCACAGCAGGATCGCATTTCAGAGCACGTTACTATCAGATGGGTTATACCCCGATAGCATCTAGTGACTCCAGGTGCAGCTGCACACAGAAGTTCCAGCAGAGACAGGGAAAGCTGATGGTTAAAAATAGGTGTCTTAAATGAAGTTTAACATTATAGTTTATACTTGGGTTTTAGAAATTAATGTGATGCTGCTAACAATAAATTGTGAAGATGAGAGCTTTCTAAACTCCCCTAAAATTTGTTTGACGCCACACCTCCCAGAAGCTATGGCCTACAGGCAGTCACTTGTTTTCATAAGTGGTTTTACTGAAAGCCACCACCCTCATCTATTTGTATCTATCTTTGGTAGCCTTCCTCCCAATGACACATGAGCAGTGACATGTTTGCTGACTCCTATACCAAATAAATTTTGAATTGTCCTCTAAATATCTATACAGAAAATTTGAGTTATGGGCTTGGAGATGGCTCAGTTGGTAAAGGGCCCACAGTGCAAATATGGGGACCAAATTTCGGATCCCCAGCACCTATGTAAAAAGCCAGGTGAAGTGATACTTCTGTGATCCCAGGCCTGGAGAGGTGGACAGTAGGGTCTTTGGAGCTTACTGGTCAGCTAGCCTAGTCAACATGTGAGCTCCAAGTCCAGTGAGAAACTCTACTCAAAACAAAAGCAAAACAAAACAAAAACCCAACTAAGGTAGAAAGCAATTGAGGAAGGCACCTGACTTTCAGCCTCAGCCCCCTGACCTTGAAGCAGGTGGGAGAAGCCTTGGAATGAGTTGATCATCTGTGGTCTGTGAGTTAATCAACCATGCCTTTGTAGTAAAGTTTCCATGGAAACACAGGATGGGGGGGGAGGAGGAGAATGGGTTTTCAGAGTTTCCTGAGAGCTGAGCAGGTGGAAGGTCCTGGATAGTATGGGCTGGGAGAGGGTCCATGCCCCTTCTTCACACCTCTCTGTATGCCTCTCTTCATCTCTGGGTAGTGAGCTTGAGGAAATGTTTCCCCAAACTCCATGGATTTATCTTGCAAACCATCAGAGCCTGAGGGGTTTGTGCACCGCTACAGAGATCAGCTGCACTCATAAAACAGCCTGGGGCTTTCAACAGGCATCGCAAGTGGTGGGCTGGGTAGTTTTATGTCAACTTGACACAAGCTAAAGTCATCTGAGAGGAGGGAACCCCAATTAGGAAAACGCCTCCATAAGATGGGGTTGCAGGCAAGCTTGCAGGACAGTTTTGTTTTTGTTTTGTTATTGATTGATGGGTGAGGGTCCAGCCCATTGTGGGTGGTGCTATCCCTGGGCTGGTGGTCCTGAACTCTATAAGAAAACAGGTTGAGCAAGCCAGTAAACAGCACCCTCCACGGCCTCTGCATCGGCTCCTGCCTCCAGGTTCCTGCCCTGTTTGAGTTCCTGTCCTGACTTCCTGATGGGCTATGATCTGGAAGTATAATCCCAATAAATCATTTCCTCTCCAATTTGCTGTTTTGGTCATGGTGTTTCATGGCAGCAATAGAAACCCTAACTGAGACAAGTAGCAATGGAGAGACGGAGATAGCCCTCAACCTATGGGAAGTGAGCCTTTATCTAGGTAGTGCTATGATTAAATCAGGTTAAAGGATACCCAGTTGGAGTCTGCCACAGTAATGGCTGCTTGGAGCAATGGCTGATGGAAAGGGAGTAGCGGGTGGCTAGTGTCAGAGGCGATCTGCATCGTGGGGTGTACCAGCGGAAGCTGAGTCTGAGTTCTGCCTCTCCGATGCATCCCCATGGTGTTGGCAAGACGTATGGGATATATACAAATGCAGGGGACGTTCACTGGGACTCCTTTGACTTAAGTCAGCTACGTTAGCTACTCTACTCATCATTATGACAAAATGTGTGACATAAACAGCTTCGGGGAAGAAAGTTTTCCTGGCATCACTCTTCAAAGATCTCCACCTGTGGTTGCCTTGCGTCGTGCATTAGAACGGAACATCATGGTGGTGGCAGTGTGTGGAGGAAGAAGCTGGCTACTCACCTCACAGAGTAAAAGAAGTAGACAAAGGGAAGGGGCAAGAAACCTGGCCTAACCTTCAAAGGCGCACTCCCTTAAGATGCAATTTCTCCAGCAGGTTCCACATCCTAACGGTTCCAGAGCTTCCCAGAATAGTGTCACCAGCCGGGACCTGTGGTTAGCGTTCAACGCATGAACCTGAAACCACAGCACCAATCATGTAAAAATGATGTTGTGTGACAATTAGAGAACTCTAAGTACTGAGAGGATGTCGATTGTAAAGACTTGTAGCTAATCTTGGAGGCTGTGATAATGGACCTGGGCTATGTGAAAAAGTGAGGAGAGTCATTATCTTCTAGAAATATGTTCTTGCCATACAGTTGGCTACAGTAATGGGCTCCAAGGCATTACTCCCTATTTCAAGGTTATTTGCATATCCTCTCCTACGTGAAATCTGGGTTAGGCTGCATGACTTGTTTTGGCTAATGAGATGTTAGCCAACATGATGCAAGCAGGGGCCTGTAAAGTTCTTGCATACTGGGACTTGCCTTCCCTTGCCGCTGGCAACTCTTGGAATGCTGCCACTGTTGGAGCAAGCCCAAGCTAGCCTGCTGCTGAGGCTATGTGGAGAACTGAGCCACCCTGCCCGACTGCCAGACCAGTAAGGGAGGCTATCAAAGTTCTTCAATGCCAGTCGAGTCATGAGCTGGCTGTATCCATGTTTGAGAGCCTAAGAAAAGCAGCAGGAGAACCATCCATGGGATAGCTCAAGTCATCAGACTCCACAATCGTGATCCAATAGTTCTACAGTCCCAATGCATGGACAAACTTACAGATATCTGGGGATTTGCTTCTGAAGATGGGTGAACGCAGATGTTGGTGAAACGAGGCTTGTTCTATGCTGACAGTGAAGTTGGTGAAGGTTTCATCTTGTTGAGCCTTTGGTAGTATTTGAAATTGAAATTTCCAGAAATAGAGGAAGAAGGCCTTGAGAGATGGCTCAGTGAGTAAGGGCTTACTGTGCAAAGCTGAGGATCTGAACCCAGATCCCCAGAGCCAAGGTAAATCTAGGTGTGGTTACACACACCTGTAACTCCAGCACTCCTACAGAGAGATGGGAGGAGCACACAGAACTCCCAGAAGCTCATAAGCCAGCAGGTCTAGTGGAAGACAAGTGCCAACGCTTGAGGTTAACCTCTGACTGCCACACGAATGCTACACTTG